TTTTATTTTTTTAAAAAAATTATTATTATTTAGACAACAAATGACCTTCTAACACTTATATAAATTCATAATTAATATGACTAATTTAATATCAGTTATTTCTTAAATAAACAAGAATTGTCATCATAAATTGAGAATTGACACAATAATTTATTTAAAAGTTATATTAAAAGTGAATTTTTGAATTCTCTTCCAACAAATTTTTAAAATTGTGATAAAAAAAATTTGTTTTTAAAATAAGTACTATTTAAGTTATGTCCAACATTATATGTATAGTAATTTTGAAACTTTATATATATGGTAATTACATAGCATAAGAACATTATTTATTTTATACCTTAGACGGCACTTGTATTTGTATTTTATACCCTTTTATTTGATGACTTCAGTTCCTTCAGTATCAACTGTACCACTAAAACGTTATTAATGAATTAATATGGATTGAAGTTTTATTAATGTTATTTTTGATAATTTTAGTATTTAAAAGATATTTTTTTACTCAGTCTATACAGGAAAAAAAAATAATTTTACTCTCATTTTGTACCTCAAAAGAATATGGCAGAAGAAATTGTGTACCTGCGGGTCTAGAAGAAGATATCCAAGAAATTTGTCACAGAAACAAATTGGGCCAAGCAGATTAGAAGTAGCGTGCAACAGATCTTCTTGATTGCAATTGCAAGCCTATTCTTTCATTGATTTGATTGATGGATATTTTCTGAAATAATAAACATGATTTAAATATGATCATTAGGAGGCATAGTCTTCTATATTAATTTACTCTAATTGTCTAAAAGAGGGGAGACCTCAATGTATAGTTAAAAAATAATTAGGTAAAATCATACAATGGGACAATAAGTAATCTAACAATTTGCTTTCCAAAAAAAAAAAAAAAAAAAGAAACTGAAAATGAGAATCTAAAAGAAGAAAATTAATAAAAAAATCTTAAATTTACATCAATTCAATGAAATTCTAACTAAAAAATATTTAGTTAAATTCCATTTATAGTAGGTCAAAGTTTTCTAAATAATTAATAATTCTAAAAACAACCAATAAAAATCTATGGCATGAAACTACAACATCTAAGAAAATTTTTTTATTTCCTTGACCAATAAAAATGTATATACTTTTTCATTTTATACTTAAAAGAAAGCATAATAGAAGGAGTTGCTATAGGTTTAGAAAAAGGTATTAAAAAAATTAGACACTGATGAGAAACAAATTAGGCCCACAAAATTAGAAGGTAGCATATATATAGTAGATTTGCCTGATTTCAATTTCGAGTCTATTCCTTCTTATGAGAAAGGTTGATGAATATTCGAAAAGAAAAACATAATTCCAATAAGATTATAAAGGGATATACATTTTTATATTATTTTTCTTGAAATGACCAACAAAAAAAGAGAGAGACCTTAAATAAAGTATCAATTAATTAAGTGGCTACTAATTAATTACTAGGTAAAAGCACAAAATATGAAAATGAGGAATCAAACAAATTGCTCAAAAAGGAAAAAAAAAATAATATAATGATAATGAGAATCTGAAAAGAATTTATGAATAAAACATAAACTAAATCTGACAATATGGTCATGAATTAATCCATAAGAAACACTAAGATATATATTAAAGAAAAAATAAACAGAATCTTAAAGATAGATAGATGGTGTACTTACAATGCAAGATTAGCAGAAGAAATAGGTAAAGTAGGACACTGATAACCAACTTGAGCCTTGCAAAGCAAATTGTTAGAAGTAGCAACAGGTTCAATTTCTGATGCGATGAGTTGATGAGCCAACTATGGAGAAGAAAGAACTTAAATAGGTCCTAGGCAATAGCATGGTGCATTAATTTCCTGGAAGATGCTTTGCAAATGCAAGTGAAATCAACAAAAGAATCTTATTGTATCAAAAAGAATGACTTGAAGGATGGAAGTGTATTTCTTGGAAGATGCTTAGCAAATACAGGTGAAATCAACAAGAGAATCTTATTGTATCAATAGGAACGACTTGAAGGATGGAAGTGTAAAATACATGAAAACAAGCATTATTTCACACCCAGCCCATATAAATATTCTAAATTAAATCACTGCCACCTAAGTTTTTGTGAAAAGAATTGAAGTATAAGGTTCTAATTTTATATATATATATATATTAGACTGTAAAAATTATTTGAGAAGGATTAGGATTATTTATGTATTCTTCAAACTTAACAAACTTACTTAAAAATTAAGGTTTAAATTAAAACTAAAAAATCAATTGATTAAAATAAATAGGCATTTATAGGACTTAAAGATACCTTATAATAGAAGTGGGACTGATACCACAATAATTAGAATTTTGTGTGAATATATGCCGAAAATCCCCAAGTATGTACACCTTAATAACATGTGTCGGTACGCCCATCAATCTACAGGAAGAGTGTCCGTGTCGGAATTTTGGACTAAGAAGCGATTTTTTTTTATGGGTCTCTCAACTTTTACTTCTTTCGCACTTTGATCTTTACACGTTTTATTTATTCATCTGGGTCCTTGACTTCAACTTTCTCTTTTTCAAATTGTTCTTCTGCAATTCAGTCCTAATATTTCTGATTTCTTCCAAAAGGAAAAATTTACACAATGATATGTGTGAGAATTCAACTTATCATATATTATCATATATCAATTCATGCATGTCTAAATAATTTTAAGAAAAAACTTTACTTTATTAATCTATTGTTAATTTAAAATAATAAATTATATTTTCTCAATTTGTGGCTTTTTTCCTTTTTCATCTACTTCTTCTGCGTTGCTAGCTGTTTTTTCTTTGCCTTTGATTGCTTTTTCTTCTCCACGTGATTTTATTTCTATTCTATTTTTTGTGCTTCTTATTACTCTTATGATTAAAATGACTTTTTTCGTCTTGAATTAAGTTTTTTTTTTAAAACTTAACTGAACTATCTATAAAATTTTTCATTACCAAAGGAAAAAATCTTATTGTAGTGGGCAGGTCAATGAGAAAGAAAAAAAAGAATATTTTCAGGAAGGTGCATACTAAATGCCACACAATCATGAATGAGTATGCACAGTCATCGTGAAGAAATGTCCTGTCATTAGAAACAGTAAACTCGGTTGGCTTGCATTTGAAATTTCGATACATTTAAGTTATATCCATAATTTCGTTTCTACGCGTTTAAATAATTCACCACAATTATATTCCAATATAACCAACTACCTTTTGGATTTGCGTGTTTGAAAAAAAATTTCCTGAAGTCAAGTTTCCTGTTTTTTCTTTTCTTTTTTTTTTTTTTTTTGACAATTTCCAAAATTCTATTTCTAGAGAGCTGTGGACCAAGACCTTAAAACGATAGGCTAGGCAGGTTAAGGAGAAAATTCGAATGATATTTTTGAGAAGATGCATAGCAAATGTCATACAAAAAT